CCCCAAAACCCCAAAACCCCAAAACCCCAAAACCCCTCCAACTAGTATAAAGATAGAAATTTAAAAAATGTTAAATAATATATTTTTATAATGATGAGACATGGAAGCATCTACTCGAAGATTCAATCAGAATCTCAAAACTTAACCAGTTTGCTACGGACTTTCTCAGGCAGGAGAGCAGTAGACTGTATCTATGATCATCTAAACACTATGGAGAAATACATTTCGAAGAATAAAAAATAAGTTACTTGCCAAAGACTTTCCTTCCAACCATCAGTGGTTTAACAGTAAACCCTTGAGCTTAAGAAAGGAGCTAAGGAACAAGCTGGTGGTCATTGACTTTTGGACCTACTGTTGCATTAACTGTCTCCATGTTCTCCCAGAGCTTGAGTGGTTAGAGACGAAGTACTCCGACGAACCTGGAATTACATTCATTGGGTGCCATTCTGCCAAGTTTACTAATGAAAGAGAGTCAGACAAGGTAAAATTGCTAATCTTTGCCCAGTTCTTTAATCTTCTTTAGGTACAAGAAGCAGTCCTTAAGTATGACGTCAAACACCCTGTTTTCAACGACGAAGAGATGATTTTTTGGGATCAGCTTGAAAGAAGGAGTTGGCCCAGTATTGCTATAATCTCACCTGACGGAGTTCCAATTCTGTTCCTTAGCGGTGAAGGTCATAAAAATAGAATAGATATGTTCCTTGAAGCATCTGCTGAGTTCTACAATGATAGGCTCGATCGGACTCCAATTGACTTGTACTTGGAAGAAGAGAAAGAAATTCAAGAGAAGGAGTCAAAAGCAACTAGAGTTGATTCTTTGACTTCTGAAGAACATGCTGCTTTAAATTCGAATCTTCGCTTTCCTAGTAAAATTATAAGTATAGCAACTCAACCTTGCCTGCCGTACGACTGAAACTTAATGGTCATCTCAGACACAGGGAACAACAGAGTAATAATTGTGGACATAGAAACTAACGAATGCCTCGATGTGATTGGGTCGGGTAATATTGGCCTAGTCGACGGAGAATACGGTGACTGCGCTTTCCACCATCCTCAAGGAATTTGTCATGTCTACAGAGAGAACGAGCACTTTCTCTACGTCTGCGACTCAAACAACCATGCTATCAGAGAGATCAACCTCAACAAGAAAGAAGTACTGACAGTTATAGGAACTGGTGAGCAAGGCAGGGATCGTGAAGGCAACAAAAAGCCTGAGTTTCAAAAACTTTCGAGCCCATGGGACATAGTTGCTATCAACAGAGATACTCTGATTATAGCAATGGCAGGTGTTCACCAGATTTGGGCTTTGAATCTGAAAAATAATCGGTGTTTCAACTTCAGTGGAACCGGATCAGAAGCAAATCTAGATAGTAGTGTCAACCTAAAGAAATGAGAATGGGCTCAGCCATCTGGACTATCTCTTGGAGTAATTAGCAAAGAAAAAATGGAGATCTATGTTGCTGATTCAGAAAGTAGCGCGATAAGAGCTATTGACATGAAAACTCTCAATTCTTCAAGAAATGTAGCAGGAGGTGACTCTGATCCCTATAATCTCCATGCCTATGGTGACAAAGACGATGTCGGCAACAAGGCGAAACTTCAACACCCCTTAGGAGTCCATTTCGTTAAGAATAAGAATGTTGTGCTTGTTACCGACACTTATAATCATAAAATAAAAGTCATTGATCCTTTCACCGATGAGATTTTCTCTTGGCTTGGAAATGGAGAAGGAGGTCTCAAAGACGGAAATTCAACTAGTTCTCAGTTCAGCGAACCAAGCGGATGCTGCTCAATCTGGAATAAAGACTCCAGTGACAATGACAAACTAACAGTCCTCATCGCAGACACTAACAATCACTGAATCAGAATGGTCGACTATGATGAAGGAGATGTTTCTACAGTCAGGCTCAAAAATATTCCACCAGCTAGAACCCCTTTCACTGGCCCAGTAAAAACAGAAATGGAAGTGAAATGCGAAGATGGGTTCTGCGTTCCTAAATTCAAAAACAAGAGATAAGTTTCAACCTGGTGTTCACAAATTGGGGTTTTGGGGTTTTGGGGTTTTGGGGTTTTGGGG